TTTTTTTTTTTAAAACCCAACTATTAAGAAAGTTCTTCTTATTCTTTTTTTCTTTTACCTGATGCATCTCTTAAAGTAATGACAATATCTTCAGAAAAAGAAAACGCTTTATGGGTAAACAAAACAAAAACAAACAAAATAGACTTCTCCCGAAAAGATTCTACACTACTGGTATAATTCCCAACAATTAATATATCACGATCTATAAACTTTTTTTTTATCAAGATTAATCACAAGCAAAACATGGAAAGAAACAGTTTAAAAGGGAAATCAAACAATTACCAATAACAAAAGAAAGGAAGAAAGAACAGAGTATAACAAGAAGGAAACACAGAAGAACAAATGTAGGAATGATGCACACCTAAAGCAAATAGAAGAAAAAAAATGAAGACTTTGTTTCTTGAAGTCCAAATACAAGTTTCTGTATTTCTACTTTCCTCTCTACTCTCTTTCTCCTTCTCAATCTCTCCGATATTCCTTCTGAGCTTTGCCAATTTTCTCCCCCTTTCTCCTGATTTATTTCCCAATTTTTGAATCCCCCCCCAAAAGTTGAAGGTGCCCCCCCTTTTTATACAGAAACAGAGAGGACTCCAATTCTTTTCAATTCTAAATTCTAATCCCAATCCCCAAAATTACAAATAATAATTTAATCCTATTCGAAATTGGAATTCTAAAACTAATAGTCTTTTACACATCTTCCCTCTTTCAACACTAGATTCATACCTTTTAGACATCAGGACTCCTCATTTGAATCGACTTCAAAAACTTCTTCTTTAGTTCTTGATAAGGACTTCAAATCCGAAAATCTCTTCTTGTGTTGTTGTGATCTATCTAAACTTTGAGTGGATTTAGAGATAACTCAAAAGAATTTTGGAGTTTTGGGACAGTGGCTGGTGGCAAAGAAAGAGTTGGCAAGAATCATGAAAATTGAGGGCTAGGGTTCGTCTAAACCCAGCCCTTTTTTTATTTTTTAGTCTATTGGTTAAAACGACGTCATTTTGCCATTTTCTCCTCTTAGCCTTTCAAGTTTCTAGCCTTTATAAAAATAGTCCATTGCCTTCTAATTTTATCATTTAGCCCCAATTAAAATTGGGTTATGACATTGAATTTGAGCATATATTCATGTCCTTGATAATTGCCGGACCTAAAAGTCCAGGGAAAAACATTGATGTTCTGCTTAGGCCATTAATTGATGAACTTAATGAATTATGGGCAAATGGGGTTGAAACTTTTGACAGTTTTATAAAGCATAATTTTGTCATGAAAGCTGCACTGCTATGGACTGTAAGTGATTTTCCAGGTTATGGCATGTTGGAGCACACATGGGAGGTTGTCATGCCTTTATTGCATGGAGAACACTAAGGCTTTTTAACTTCAATTTGGGAGGAAAACATCATTTTTTGATTGTCATTGTGAATTTCTATCTCTTACACATCCATTTCGTAGAGATAAATTTTTTTTTTTACGTAAACAAAATTGAAACAAGCTTGCCCCTGCCCCATGACTAGATGGTCATTTAATGGAGGAGCAGGTTAACGAGCTACCAGACATTATCTTTGGCTAATCACTTTGTAAACAATCAATCCCAAGGTTTGGTGTTTTCCATAATTGGGTGAAACGTAGTATATTCTGGGAACTACCATATTGGAAGAATTTATTGATTCATCATAATCTTGATATCATGCATTGTGAAAAGAATTTTTTTGATAGCATTAAAAATACTATTATGGATGACAAGGGTTGTACGAAGGATAACCCAAATGCTAGAATGGATTTGCATCTATATTACAATAGACCTAAATTGGAATTGATCCCTCAATATGATGGAACAATTTTAAAACCCAATGCTACATATGTTCTTACTTGAGAACAATGAGCTATTGTTTGTCAGTGGCTAAAGGATTTGAGATTCCCATATGGGTATGCATCCAACATAGCACGCTGTGTGAAAAGGCATGACTTTCGATTGTTTGGAATGAAAAGCCATGACTGTCACGTATTCATGCAATGTCTCTCACTAGTTGCTTTTCATGATCTCTTTATAGATGCAGTTTGGGGTTTTTTAACTGATGTTAGCAGCTTTATTAGAGCTTTATATGCTCCAATTATTCAAGTTAGTAACATGGAGATGTGGGAGGAAAAAATTGTGGAGACCATTTGCAAGTTAGAGAAAGTATTTCCTCCAGCATTCTTTGATTCGATGAAGCATTTGGCAATCCATCTACCATATGAGGCAAAAGTTGGAGGACCTGTCCAATTCTATTGGATGTACCCTTTTGAGAGGTATATTTCATCTAATTTATTTGCACCACAATAACTTTTTTGAGCATACTCAATAATACAATCTTGTTAATTAATTTTGTTATTTTCTTAATAGAAAAATGCATGATCTTAAGAAGAAAGTGTTAAATAAAAATCGTGTTGAAGCGTCGACCTATGAGGCTAACATTCTTTAAGAAATTTCTTTCTTTTGCTCGCATTATTTTGGATCCAATGTAAAGACCAAATTGAATTGCCTGCCAAGAAACATTGTTAGTAGGAATGATGATATACATGGTTGTTTATCTGTCTTTAGAAATCGAGGTCAGCCTCTGAGGGGAGAAATGCGTGGGCGAGCATTGTCACCAAGGGAATTAAAGGCAGCAGAATTTTATGTTTTGCTTAATTGTGAGGAAGTAAACCATGGATTGCGTATGTTTTGCTCTAACTTTCCTTTATTTAGGTTAATTAAATTCATAGATTGTTTACTCTCACTTCTTAATGTAGGCTCTTCGATTCTCAAATGTGTTGTGGACGATCATCAAACCAAATTGAAATGAAACAACAACTTGAGTTTATTCTTTAGTTTAAAACAATGGTGAGTCAATCATCATAGTAATTTTTATTATTAAGATTTCAATTTTAATTTTAATAAAAATACAATATTCAATACTTTTATAACAAAGGTAGGTATGTAACGGAAGATACTGTTTGCTCAATGCACTCCAAGAAGGGGGTGAATTGGAGTTCAAAAATTTCCTTCTCTTTGCAACCACAAGACAAAGAATTAAAAAGAGTAAGGAGGAAGAGTTTGCTCAATGATTTTATAGAGGTTCGGTCTAACCACTTGGATCCTAGTCCTTTACCTTGGCCTCACTCACAAAGGATTTCCTCTACACTCTCCACTATCAAGAACAAGAGTGGCTTAAAGGAGCTACTCAATCCTTTTACAAGAAGATGAGTATTTCTCTCAAATCTCACCCCTTTATAAGATAAACCCAAACAATTCTCTCTACAAATAACTCTTGAAGGAATAATCACACCCCCAAGATCACTCACAAATAGAACAAGAAGAGGATTACAAGTAAAGATCTCTTAAAGATCAAAAACTCAAGTTAAAGCCCATGTTGGTAGGTAAAGATATTCAATACAATGCTCTCTAAACTTATTCCAGATCTTCTATCAACCATATTTATAACCCCATGATCGAAAATAGCTGTTACTAGCCGTTGGAGGTTATTTAATGCTCTGCAAGTCGTGTAATTTTGAATTGCAGAATTGTCAACACTATTGGCTTAGACTTCTAGGGCCGCCTCCACAGCCCGCTTAACAAATATGCAGCTGGCTTTGCAGGTTTCTTGCATATTTTGTTTTTCTCGAGAGTTGGTTGCAAAAATGTAAAGTCAACTTTGTGGGTTTCCTGCACATTTTGTTTTCCTCGAAAGCCAGCTGCAAAATGTAAAGCTGGATTTGAAAATTCGACTTTAAAATATTAAATAAATCTTCAAATAACTTGACCGTTGTGCATTTAATGCACCCTCACAGCTGGTTGCAAAGTCAGAGTCGGCTTTGCGTCTGTTTTTCGTGCGTGCCAAACATCGGACTTGAAATTTTCACTGGTAGAGTCGACTCTAAAATCTGTAGCTGGCTCCCTGCATTTTTGCCTCCCACAGTTGGCTGCAAATTATTTAAGCCGACTCTTTGCTCATTTTTCAGCCTTTTTGGTCCTTTTTAGTGCAATCTTATTTTACTTACTTTGTAATCTTTTGGCAATTTAACAAAACACTTAAATGAACCAATTAGCCACTCAAATGTGTTTTTGTAATCATCAAAATTATAGGTATAACAATCTCCCCCTTTTTGATGATGACAACACACTTTGAGAATGAATTAATCAAAGCACATATATATTTCAATGAAAATACATATAGACTTCAAAATTAACTAGAAGTTTTAGCATCAAAACACTTCAGAAAGTGACAGTAAATTCAGCATATTTTCTCCCCCTTTTTGTCATCCAACAAAAAGTATATAAACATAATCAATAAACTCCCCCTTAATTCATGCATATCAAAAATTTGTAATTTGAGCATAATATCCACAAATTGCTCCCCCTCAATGAAAGCACTTAAGATTATAATCATCAAAATTATAGGCAACCATAAAGTCATATACAATTAAAATCCACAATTCATGATAATAAGCTACAAAATGTGCATAGATAATGAGGGCAAAATTTGGGAGAGAATCAAATCTTGAATGTGAGGAGAGGAAAAGGGCCAAATATTAAAAATCTATCACAATCAAGAGGCTTTGTAGTAAAGAAAGATATCTCATTCCAAGCAACTATGAAGGTCAAAAAATTCTTTCTGTTCTTTTTGTTATCCAACAAAAAATGTTTGAAGACCATATGAAGAGTAAAGCAAAAGAGCTCCCCCTTAATAAAATAACTCATGAAAGCATGAACATACTTATATAACAATCTCATTACTATCATACCAAGAATGTATAATCATCTATGATTTAAGTCGTAAAGATCAATAAAAGATAAATGAAATAGCACAAATGTGATATGCATTCAAGATAAAGCAATATATATGTCCATCATACTCATAAAGAGTTTGAAATTGATAGGTTTACCTCCATTATTGTTAGAGCAATTGAATACCTCAATGGAGAAACCATTGCTTGTGCATCTCCTCAATCTTGTTTTTCTCACTTGCTTCACATGGAGGTTGTGCGATGCTATTGTCTTCAATGTTCATTATTACCTTTGTTACCCAATAACATCTACAACACAATTTCACAACTCTTTCTAAAGCAAATGGGGTTAGTCTCATTTAATACCACATGAATAGATTCAACACTATTAATCCTTTTTATGTGCATCATAGCATATGATAGCTAATATCAAAAATCTTATTCATTGAAATAAACTATGACTATGCAAGCATTCGAGTGCATGACATACACTTACACATAATCAAATATCATTAAAAGTATCCATCAAAAAGCAAATATACAAATCCTTCAAAGTGTAAGATGCTTCTTAAGATCATGCTCAACTTTCAAGTACTACCATCAAAATCGTGAAAACAATGAGACAAGTAAATTAGAATGTGATAAACCATGTAAAGTAAAACAACTTATTAAAATACTCATTTAAATCAAATCATCAACCATTTTCAAAATGACACATATAACATTGAAAATTACTTATATCATGAAGAGCTCATTATGAACTATATATGATAAATAATCAATCTAATCATCCACATATGTCAAGTATATAAACATGATACAAGTAATATCTATAGCAATCAATAAGGTTGTATCAACACTAGAAAAGATACATCAAATGGAATCATACTTAACAAGCATATGTATTAAAGAGTGAGCACACATGAACTAATAATTAATGGTCATGCTAATGTAATTATACTCAATCAATAAATGCAATAAGATAAATAATACCAATTTGAGCATATGAGCGGAGCATTCAAAAGCAAATTTTTCTTTACACTTTCACTCCAACATTCTTGTTGAGATATAAGTCTTTATCAAGATCAACTTTGCTTTTTTTATGACTTTGCCATCAACGTTACCTACAAAATGAAATCAAGTTTTGATCTTTGGTACCCAAATTTGCTTGGGTCCTTGGGAGTTAGTACGTAAGGTTCCTTTTGGAACCCAAATTTGCTTCACTTTGCCTTGAGCCATCAATCTCTTCAAAGGAGATACATAAGCAAAATGTCCTTTTGCAGCACAATAATAGCAAGTAACTTTAGAATTAGAAGATTGACTTGCTCTTACAAAGAAATTATTAAAAGTTCTTTGCTCTTTAGAATACTCAAATCCTATGCCCCTTTTATTATGAACACTTCTTTGAGAATTCAAAATAGAATCAAAATTTTCTTTACTTAAGGGAAATTTGGAAATCACATTCTCAAGATCACAAACTTTCTTTTTCAAGTTCTCATTTTCTTTTTCAAAGCATTATTTGATTCCTCATTCTTCAAAGAAGCAATCTCAACATTTAAGGAGGCATTCTCTTTAACTAAAACCTCATTTTGTTTTGAAAGAGATTCAAGCTCATCTTTAAGTAAAGAGATAGATTTAGTAAGTGCTAGACTCTCATTCCCTAGTCTCTTGATATCATTAATAGAGCAATCAAGTATTCTACACAACTCATCATAAGAGCTATCATGAAATGAATTAGAAGAGTTAGAACTTACCTTTTCATCAAAGAAGCTATTTTCTTGAGCCATAAAGCAAGGATTGGACACATCATCTTCCAAGGAGCCTTCTTTCCCAGATGAGCTACATTCATCATTACTCCATGTGGCAACAAATGCTTTGTTTTTCTTGCCTTTCTTCAATTTGGGGCATTCATCTCATAGTGTTCCATCTTATCGCACTCATAGCATTTGATATGCTTCTTGCTTGGCTTTCCTCTATCATCACCATCACTACATATTCTTCCTTTAGAGTAGTGAATTTCCTTGTTTCTTCTAGAGGATGTCCCTTTGAGGCTCTTCTTCATGTATTTCTTCACTTCCTTTGAAACTAATTTGGTGATGTCCTCTTCATTGCTAGTTTCATCATTATTAGCATCATCTTCACTCTCTTCATTTTGGTTGCTAGCCTTGAATGCAACATTCTTCCTCTTCTCAACTACTTCAGCTCCACCATCAACTTGAATATCCATCTCATATGTCATCAATTTTCCAATGAGATCATCAAGCTTAAGGGTGTTGAGATCCTTAGACTCTTCAATTGAGGTCTTCTTGGCTTCCCAATTCTTAGGCAAGCTTCTAAGAACCTTTCTCACCACTTCTTGAGAAGGATAAACTTTACCAAGAGCTTTGAGATTTGTGACTATATCATTCGACCTTGTATACATATCTTGAATGCTCTCCTCCGGTTTCATCTTGAAAAGCTCATACATGTGAATGAGTCTATTGATTTTTGACTCTTTCACTTGGCTTGTTCCTTCATGTGTTATTGCTAATTTGTCCCACATCTCCTTAGCCGTATCACACCTAGAAACTCTATGGAATTCCGTTGGATTGAGGGCAAATTGAAGCATGTTGATTGCTTTGTTGTTGATCATGATCTTCCCCAAGTCTTCATCATTCCATTCAACTTCTTCTTTTGGCACCTCATTTTCTCCAACAACTTTCATGGGAACATATGGACCTTTTATAGTCACAATCCATGGCCTAGGCTCATTTGCAAGCATGTAGACCTTCATCCTATTCTTCTAATAATTATAATTATTACCATCAAAGAAAGGAGGGTTAATGGTAGACAAACCTTCAAGTGGTTGAGAAGCTTGAAATTGAGCCATCCTTGATCAACTCCTAGGTGGTTAAACCTTCAAATTAGAGCCCTTGCTCTGATACCAATTGTTGGCTCAATGCACTCCAAGAGGGGGGTGAATTGGAGTTCAAAAACTTCTTCCTTTTTGCAACCACAAAACAAAGAATTAAAGAAAGTAAGGAAGAAGAACTTGCTCAATGATTTTATAGAGGTTCAATCCAACCACTTGGATCCTAGTTCGCTACCTTGGCTTCACTCACCAAGGATTTCCTCCACACTCTCCACTATCAAGAACAACGGTGGCTTAAAGGAGCCATTCAATCCTTTTACAATAAGATGAGTATTTCTCTCAAATCTCACCCCTTTACAAGATAAACCCAAACAATCCTCTCTACAAATCACTGTTGAAGGAATAATCACACCCCCAAGATCACTCACAAATAAAACAAGAAGAGGATTACAAGTAAAGATCTCTCAAAAATCAAAAACCCAAGTTAAAGCACATGTTGGTAGGTAAAGATATTCAATACAATGCTCTCTAAACTTGTTCCAGATCTTCTACCAACCATATTTATAACCTCATTGTTGAAAATAGCCATTACTAGCCATTGGAGGTTATTTAATGCTTTGCAGGTCGGTAATTTCGAATTGTAGAATTGTTAGCGTAGCCGGCTTAGACTTCTAAAGCTGGCTCCATAGTCAGCTTAAAAAATATGCAGCTGGCTTTGTGGGTTTCCTGCACATTCTGTTTTTCTCGAGAGCCTGTTGCAAAAACGTAAAGCCAACTTTACGGGTTTCCTACATATTTGTTTTCCTTGAGAGCCGGCTGCAAAATGTAAAGCCAGCTTTGGAAATTCGACTTTAAAAATAACTTGACCGTTGTGCATTTAATGCGCCCTCATAGCCTGCTGCAAAGTCAGAGCCGGCTTTGCATCTGTTGTTTTCGCACGCCAAACAACGAACTTGAAATTTTCACCGTAAAGCCGGCTCTCTACATTTTTGCCTCCCACAGCCGATTGCCAATTATTTAAGCTAGCTCTCTACAGATTTTTCAGCCTTTTTGGTCCTTTTTAGTGCAAGCTTATTTTACTTACTTTGAAGTCTTTTGGCAATTTAATTGCACACTTAAATGAATCAATTAGTCAGTCAAATGTATTTTGTAATCATCAAAATCATAGGTACAACAGATATAGGTTGATCCATGCCTATTGAAATTAGTAACTGGACCAGTTAATAATATTAGGGTATATAATGGTTATTGGGTTAATGGATTCTAGTTACATACTATCTCATACGGAAAAACAAAAAAGACCATGAATAGTGGAGTTTGTGTCAAGGGAACCACTTTAAATGATTATGAGTTAGATAATTATAGCCAACTGAGAGAAGTTATTGAGCTTCACTATTTTGACTCGTCTGTTCCTCAGTCAGTGATTTTGTTTAATTGTGATTGGTATGATCTCAACAAAGGCATTGTGATCCATTTGTCATTTGGTATAGTTGACATAAATTCTCAGTTTAAACTACAAACAAATTAACTTTTCATCTTAGCAAGTCAAGCCCAACAAGTGTTCTACACTTCTTATCCATCTAAAAATCCTTATAGGAGAGGGTGGTATACTGCATGTAAGATTAGGGCAAGAGCAATAATTGACACTTCATCTGTAGGTGATAGTGTAAATGCTTATTATTAGGATGATGATCCTTCTATGCCATAGTTGGTGCAACCCTTAACTATTGTAGATGATCATGTTCCTCTAGCATCTCCAGGAGGAGAACAAGTGGTGATTACTCAAGACATGTAATTATCTTATGCGGTTGAACAAAATGAGGAAGAATGTGTGGACGAAGATGATGAGGAAGAGGACAAGTTTGATGGGACAAAAACACTAGAAGAAGATGTTCTAGATTACTTAACCGACAGTGAAAATGACTAGTTGTATTTTGTTTGACATTTTTATTGAATCGAACAAATGATGGATGATCATTTATATTTTTTTTGTGTTACTAAAGATAGACATTGTTTATATTATATAATATTTATATAATGTACATATATATTTTATTTATATTAATAGATATTTAAATTTATACTTACCTTTTATGTTAACTTTATATATTTGGTTAAACCTTTATTTTGGTCCCTGAACTATTGTACGGACCCCCGATTTGGTCCTTGAACTAAAGAAATCCCTAATTTGGTCCTTGAACTATTATACGAACCCTGAGTTGGTCCCTAAACTATTGTACGGACCCCCAAATTAGTCCCTAAATTATTGTACGGATGCCCAATTTGGTCCATACTGTTTACCAATTTAACCCCAACTTGGTCATTCTATTAAATAATAGCTCAAGGACCAAATTGGGGCGAAATTGTAAACAATAAGGACCAAATTGGGGGTCGTACAATAGTTCAAGGACCAACTTAGGCCAAATTATAAACAGTGGGGACCAAATTGGGGGTCCGTACAATAGTTTAAGGACCAAATCAGGGATTTCTTTAGTTCAGGGACCAAATCGAGGGTCCGTACAATAGTTCAGGGACCAAAATGGGGATTTAACCTATATATTTATATATTATGTATTGTATTTTTATTATTTTATATTTATATATTTCATTTAAAAATGTATTTAAATATAAGAGAAGTTAGTAAGAACCACTTTAAATGATGGTAGTAAGATCTCAACTTTGGGTTTGTGTCATACTCATATGCATATGTACTTCAATTAGGTTGATTCAAAGGGTGTTAATTTAATTAAAGTTAGCTTAATTTCTAGAATCTGTGCAATAGATGGTAGCCAGAAATGTTAGTGGAAAGAAACAGAAGAATTAATCATGAAGGATAAATTAATATAGCATTTCATTAGAAGACTGGCATATACTAGAAGCATTTCATAGACATAAATTTGAATGTCCAACCTTTGATCTAAAAATTAAGTATTCATCTTTTGCTTTTTTCCCCTAATATTCAGAAAGTGCTAGAAGACAAAGATTAGCTCAATAATAATATAAAATTATAAAACTATAATAGCTAGCATAACAAGCATATGATTTTAGTAGTAGGATATTAATTATCAATGTCTTCTATGATATTTCTAACCTGAGAGAACTACAGAAAATTCATATTAAAATTATTGGATTTTTTTGTGGTGAAAAGGGGAGAGAAGGAGACACTTGGAGTTCCCTCTTTTGGTGAGGTCAGAATCGGATTTCTTCATTCATTTTCTACCATTATATAACAGAAATCTCATAATATAGCAACAATATTTTCCACCTAATAAAATAAATTTTTTTACCTTAACACATTGACTAATTTCTGTAACTCCATGTGGCTGATATTGTGGTGTTGGTGCAGCTTTCACTTCTTTTCATTTTCTACCACTATGTTGTAGCTTTGACACCACGGTCCAACAAAAACATCAATCACCTCATTAAAAACTTGAAAAAAAGGGGGGAAATTAAGAAGCAATTTAGATTGGACAAAAAAATCATTTTCGACCCCTATTTGTATACAGTCCTTAAATGAAAACAACTTTTCTTTAAGTCTAATATATAATGGATTGGAAAAACTATTGTGCACAGGATTGTATAATAAAAAGGGCTTGTATAACCTATTTTCCTAGGTACATGTTAAAATTTATTAATTAAGATATTTTTAATTAATTGTACATAAATTCTCATATTAGATTCATAACTTTTTATAGATTTTGAGTATAAATATTATATTATATTATAATGTTACATTCTATATTATATTATTTTATATTTATATGTTTATTTTTAAAAAAATTTTGAATTATGATTCATAAAAGTTTTTGTTATCTCTATAAATGAAAGCTTATGTAATTTTATTATTTTGTGTATATAGATATGGGATGAGGTGCTTGAGGTGAATCATCATCTAAAGAACCCAATAATACACTAGATAAAGCACAAAAGCAACTTCGGTGTCTTATTCGTGGGCCTCGTAAGGCTATCCCCACACAGCAGTAGTTGCTTAGTTTGATCCAACCTCTCTCAGAGGAGCAACTGCAGCAACAACAACCCACTTTAACCTGATGAGCCACACAATTGCACCAGTAATAGTTGCCTACTTTGACCCATCCATACTCACAGGTGCAGTAGCAACAACAGTAACCTTCATTACCTTATCAGGAGCTTGGTAATGAGGCACTAATGAAGGAGGATGTGGAGGAGTTGGTTGAAGAGTGTAATTTAGAGGTTGAGCTTGCTGCTAAGTATGATTAACTTGATCTTGAGTTGGATGCAGCACTTGAGGAGGAGCTATCTCATGCTGTTTCAAAGATAGGAAGTGGCATATATAAAGGGGATGAAGCACCAATAGACCTAAGTTAAAGAAAACTACTCAAAATAAATCAGCATGGGTCATTTAGCAATGAGAGATTTGGTTGGATAGCAACAGTTGTATGGAAGTTTTTATATCATGAACCCATGCCTTTTTAGGCTAATTGGCAAGAGGAAAAGAAGAGGCTTGCTTGAGAGATGTTTTGGCAGTGTTTTAAAATCGAACCAATGATAGAATTGCTTTCCTCACCGATTCCCAATTTGACCGATCAGACCAGTTCAACTGACCAATCAACCGAATCAAATAAAAATGGCCAGAAACTATAGTCCTTGGTTTTTTGACAAAATTCTATTGTTGTTTTTACAAATTTTCCATACAATCAGTAGCAACTACAAATCCAAAAACTCAATAAATAGATAAAAAAAAAGTGTAATACAACTACAAATCTCAAAAATAATAAGCCTCACACACACACATATATATGAAAAATAAGTCCAAAAACTCAAATTAATATGCCAATGAGGCATAAATTAAAATTCTTCATTGTTTATCCTCTAGATGAAAAATAATCTTAGCACAAGTCTATGCCATGTCTAATTGATGGTGAATAGCATCACGCAATTATTGCACAAATTCCACCAAAAACTAAAAAACTAGAATAAAATTATGTTTGTTTACCAGATGTATGCCAACAGAATAACATACTCCATTTCCTTTTCCATATTTACACATTTTTGTCTCGAAAACATGCATTCTTGAATAAAAAAAATAACAAAGAGCCTACCTAATTGTTTTAGATCACGAAGCCTACAATACATTCAAGAAAAGGAAAAAAAAAAAAAA